TAATGGTTTGAAACTTATCAATTTTTGTTGTAAACCCTAACTATGATCTAAGAAACGTATTGTAATAGTTAAAAAATCTGTTTTTAATCTACAAGCTCATATGTCTGATGTAAGTGCAATAAATATATTCCTAAAATTTTGAAATTCGTTTTTAAGTTTATTATTTATTTTGTTATAAAATTTTAGTATATCTCTTCTACTTGTAATTCTACTAACAAGGGTATATGCTGGACAAAATATAGTTTTAATCATGTGAATAAAATAAGGATTTTTGGATAAACAAATGAGAGAGTCCGTAGTAACTATGAATCTTGCTATTTCTTCTCGTGCAACATTGCATTGTATTGCTATGTTGAGAGAGTTAAGGATTGTGGATTAAAATTAAGTTGAGTTTGAATTTGCTTACCTGATCCGGTTGAAGATGTACCAGATAGCTGCATTATTTGGGGGTGCTTCTTCTCCAAGTGTCGTCGCATTGTCGAAGTCCCCTTCTCAACACTAATAATGGTTCCACAAAAATTACATACCCCACACGATTCCTCCCCCTCCCCATTTGTCTTTGGCAGTTTTGATTTGGTGAAGTGTCGCCATACATCGGACACGACCCTCTTTGACGGTCGTCGGGGGGGTGGGGGGTGGTTGGGTCATGCCTATGCTCATTGAGTTGTAGCTCGCTTGTGTTTGGATGCACCTCGTCCCGACCGAATGTGGTGGTTGAATTGCAATTGCTGCCTCTAGAGGAAAGGGTGAAAATGGATTGAACCCTTTCATTTTTTTGGTAGATGGAACGTAAAACTCATTTGGGGATGATCCTTCGAATGCATCATTTCAGAAATCCATTATGAATTTATAATAAAATAATAAATAATTAAAATGAAAAAAAATTAAATAATAATATGAATAAGAGATGATATTGAAAAATAGAAAAAATTGAATAATATAAATTAATTAATTATAATATGAATAAATTATAAATATAAATTGAGTGAGAATTTGATTGGAAATTTGGAGTTGAAAGCAGACAGATTGAGAGAATGAGGATTGAGTGGTGCGGAAAAAATGAGAAATTTAGGGGATATTTATAGTATAGCGTTAGGGAGCCCTGAACCACGCGCGGTCCCCCCCCCCCACCCCCCCACCCCCACCCCCCCCCCCCCCCCCCCCCCCCCCCACCCCCCCCCCCCCCCCCCCTTCGCCCCAATGGCTAAGCCAATAGTTATTAAATGCAACTTTAAATTTTGTAAAATTTTATTTTAACCCCTATAATTTCTGTCTATTTCAAATTTATAAAGATTTATGTAATTATCTGGGGCAAAAAAAAAAAAAAAAAAAAAACCAAAAGGGTTTGGACCCAAGCTTGGGACCGGTCTTAGGCCTGGGCCTTGGAGGAGGGCCCACTAGAGAGACCAAGCCCTCCTCCTTAAGCCTGATCTGTTTTTGGAACCAGACCTGCTAGGACCGGTCCTAGGTCCTAGGACTAGGTTTTTGGACCCGGTCTCAAATGCCCAGCTCCATTACAGCCCAGCCGCATTAAAAATAAATCACACAAACTAGCAAAATGAATAATCTGAAATCATAGATCAACATTTCATGACCCGCGGCAATTTCAATCTCCAATATTTATGTTAAACTTCTCCGAAATCATATTTAGTGTTGAATGAAAAACAATTTTTAATTAGTAAAAAAATAAAAAATAAGAAAAATTCAACAACATTCCATTATCAAATTAGTTACAATAATTTTCAATGATTGATGTTGTCTTATAAGTGATTAAATATCAAAACAAAATCTCATGAAGTACCAAAAAAAAAAAAAAAAAAAAAGTGAGATTTGATAAAATATGAGATAAATACCTATAGTTAAAATACCAATTAAAAAGACATCTTTGGAAATATTTAGGGTTTATTTATATGTTTAGATGATTTTGATAATTTTAACGAGGTTTATTTAGAGATGGGGTTTAATATAACAGCATTATATTGAAATAAAAGGTTTAGTTTCTAGGTCTTTCAAAAAGAGTAAACGACTTTTTCCCACCCAAGGTTTGCCTTATTGACACTTTCCCATCCAAAGTTAATACTTCGTTACTATCCAATGTTTTTTACTGTGAAAATTCTCTTCGTCACCACCATTTGAACATTTGGTTTCCTCTATCCAAAACTCCTCTCAACCTGGCACCTGATTTCCTGTTAATTGTCGACCACTGCAAAGCTAGAGATTCTTGTTCTTAGATGACTCCGACTGATTCCGAACGTAAATATTCAATCGTTCACCACCATTCGATCCACCGGCCTCTACTCTACAAAAACCCTCTTACCCTGACTCCTGGTAACTCACCGAATGTCGACTAAAAAAATGAAGTGTATTTTGGGTATTAACAGAATATAAATATTGGGTGAAAAAGTGATATTTTAAAACTTTTTAGGTATCTTTAAGGCAAACCTTGGGTGGGAAAAAGTTGTTTACTCTTTCTAAAATTATGAATCACATGTTGGGTGTGTTTGTTTTGTTATTTTGGATAAGATTTTGGGAATACTATTGGGTAGTTGAATAGGGTGAGTATTACGAGATAAATTTTAAAATTTAACCAAAAAAACCCCCTAGGTTTGCTAATTTAACTAAACACCCCAATATATAAAAATTTTGTAAAATGACAAAAACACCCCCACCCACCCACAATGCCAGATTCTGACCACCACCGCCAGAATTTAGTCGGAAAATGGCATTACGACGCAAACAGGTCGGATCTGACCGGTCGTGCGTCGATATGGCATTTTCCAGCCAGATACACCATGGATCTAGCCGGAAAAGGGCAGATCTAGGGCCAGATCTGGCTATCAAATGCCACAAAAGGCCAGATCTAGTATTAGCCATCGTTGACCGTCAACGAAGGCCATTTCTTTGGCCATCAACGACGAATTACCAGCCAATTCCAGTTGTTTCTAATCCGTTGTGATAGATTCCGGCAATCGTCGATAGTGTTTTCCGGAATCTAGCAACTATGGGTGGATGGGGGTGTTTTTGTTAATTTTTAAACTTTTTTTTCTAAGGGTGTTTAATTAAATTAATAAACTTAAGGAGTTTAAAAGTAATTAAAAAAAATAGAACAATATTTCTCAAATAATTAAACAAACATGTATTTTGGGAATATGATAGGGAATAAAATTAAAAACAAACGCACTTAATTTTCTGTGTATTACAAAACCCTCTTATATAAGCAAATTAATAAAACTCCACCTCTTAACCTAAATACCTAATGCCGTTTAAATTTCCTAAACGTCTGAGAGTTAGGGCTGTTCAAATCCGGATATCCGATCCAAATAGGGCTTTTCCTGATCCGATCTGAATTTTCGGATCAGGCTATATATTGATCCGAATCATGTGGATATCCAGTTTTACGAATATCCAATTATTCGGATCAGATAATCGGATATCCTAAATTGATCCGAATTTTAAAATTTTCTTATTAAAATCAAATAATTCTAAGCAATAAAATTGAAATTATAATTCCCTTACATGATAAAAGTATCTAAAAAAATTAACAGCACAAAACATTTAACCTATGTTGTCTAAACACTGTCACAGCCTAAATGACTATGCTATCTTCATTGCCAATTCCTACTCGTCATCATCTTACTGTACAAAACAAATAAACCATTTCAATAAACAACTTTTAAGATTAACAACAAAATAAACCAGTCACTAAGTTTGAATCAAATCCAACCACCAACAATCTTTGGAAACACACATAAAACCAAACCCAATCGGCATAGTTTGAATCAAACCCAGCCTCCATCAACCTTGTAATAGGTTCGACACGCAAATCAATACTAATGAACAATAGAAGGTTTGTAACCAGGACAAAGATAGAAGGCACCATATTACGGTGCCATTAACATCAAACTCAAATCAATATCAAAACAAAAACACCCATCAAATTGTACCATTAACAAACCATCACCAACAATAATAAAGAAATAAGCACCACGAAATCGCACCAGGCTATTACGGTGTGGCGGCAGTCGCACTAGGCTGTGACAACAATCAATTTGGGGCTTCAATCGTCAGAGAGACTGAGATATGAGAGAGTTGAGCGAGAGAGACTGAGATCTGAGAGTGTTCGAGCGAGAGAGAGTGAGAGACCGAGAGAGTTGAGCGAGAGAGACTGGGATCTGAGTCTGAGAGAGTTTTGAGTGACTGTGTGTCTGTGTCGATGTGCGTGTTCGAGCGGGAGAGATCGACAGAGTTGAGCGAGAGAGACAGAGATCTGAGTCTGAGAGAGTTTGAGTGGCTGACTAACTGTGTGTCTGTGTCTGTGCGTGTTCGAGCGAGAGAGACCGAAAGAGTCAGAGAGTTGAGCGAGAGAGACTGAGTGAGAGACTGAGATGAGATCTGGTCTGAGAGAGTGAGAGGTTGTGCATGTTCGAGCGAGAGAGACAGAGAGTGAGAGAGTTGACTTAATTGTGTTAGACTGTTAGGGTTATTTTAAAACTCAAAACGACGTACTTTAGTAAAATCCGGATCAGATACAGATATTTGATTTTTTAACAATCCCGATCCGGTATCCGATCCGAATATTCGGATTTTTTAAAATTACGATCCATATCCGATCCGAATTTTTTGGATATCGGATTTTTTTGGAGCAGAGCGGATTAGGATTGAATATCGGATATCGGATTTTTTTGCACAACCCTACTAAGAGTAAACTTCACCCGTCTCTTTTGCACATCAAAAACCCTCGACGCGAAAACAATAGCTAACATGGTGGCTTGTACAGGGGATTTTCTCATAATATAACTAGCAAAATTAATTGGTTTTTATGTTTTATGTGGTGCTTGTTAGGTATGTAGTTGTGATCCGTTCGTAGGAGGTGCTGCTGGTCGGATGGTTTGTAAAGGTGACCGGTGGTTGGGTTGCTCTTAAAAGTGGCTGGTCGTTGGGTGAAATCGCGACCGAATTTCTTGGCCAGGCACGACAAAGCCAGGTCCAGCGTCCACGACTCGACAATGTATATAGATTCCATTCAATATTCAATTTTTCCAGTTCAGATGTATATAGTGGAAATGCTTCATTTTTATTTTTATACACAAGTAAAGCCTATGGGATACGTCATTCACTGCTCTCCATTCTTGACATGGAAAAACGTTTCCCTGCAATACCAATCTGTCTAATTACTGGAAATGAAGCAAGTAAAATTAAACTAAACATCAATCTGACATCCTCTCCTATCGTGAATTCGCAAGTAGTGGAATCGCATCAGCACTCTTGTCTGGGGAAATAACCCGGGGATTGACTAAGATTTCCAGAACTGACTTCATGCTTGGCCTATTAGCAGGTAGCGTGCTGGTACAGAGGATCCCAAGTTTGAATACTCGACTCATTTCATCCAAATAGCACGCTTCCTTGATCTCCTCATCCAAAGCATCAACTATAGGACTGTCATCTTGAAGATATCGCCACGCCCATTTGGCGAGGCATGAATGTTCGTCACCATGATTAGCTTCTCTTCCTGTTGTCAGTTCCAAAAGGATCACTCCAAAGCTATAGATGTCTGTCTTCTCATTCACTTTCGTTGTATGAGCATACTCTACATTTCAAGGTAAACAACAGAAAGTCAGATAAAGCCTTGCTCAATGAAAAGGAGGGAATGAATGGCATGATCCAAAAACAAGTGATTTTCATATATGAAAGATGTATCACCTGGAGCAATATACCCGAAGGAGCCAACCACAGATGACATTGTTTCGAGTTCTCCCTTCTTGACCAGGGTTTTAGCCAGACCAAAATCAGCTATTTTCGCATTGAACTCCGAATCTAACAGGATATTGCTTGATTTCACATCGCGGTGGACAATGGGTGGGGAGCAGTCATGGTGCATGTAGCAGAGTCCCTGGGCAGCCCCCACCGCAATCTGCATCCTCTTGGGCCAGTCCAGGACAAAATGATGAACTGAGCCTGAGCCGGAGATAATTGATGGTCGACTCCTTTTATGCAGCCACAGATCCAGGCTACGATTCTCCACATACTCGTAAACCAGAAGTTTCAAATTGTCATTGGAAATGCAGCAAAGCAACTTTACTATGTTCAAATGTCTGATTCTACTTAATACTTGAACTTCTGCCAAAAATTGTTTCTCGTGCTTCTGGTCTAACTTTCTGTTATTCCCAATCCTTTTCACGGCTACAAAGTCAGCTGAACGATTTACAGGAACACGATATACTTTTCCAGACCCACCGCTTCCAATCACGTTAGTTTCTGTCAATTTTGTCAGAATGTCATTTTCTGTGAAATTCAACCTTTGGAATGAGGTGATCTCCAATCTTGTATTCAGTCCATGTTTTCTCTTGAAGAAAAATCTAAACATTAAGAATGAACAAAGCAAGGCAAACAGAAAGAAAGCTATGACAGCACTTAATATTGAAGTAAGATTCTGGGATGAAATTTTGCTTGATTTTTGGGGTACAGAAGAATCAGAACTGCAGATTTTGAGGTTTACCAATGAGCTCCTTGTACACAGACCAGGATTGTTCAAGAAGCTGCTGGCATATGCACCATTTCCAAACTCACTTGGGATTTCTCCAATGAGATGATTGGAAGAGAGGTTGAGAGAGGTGAGCTTCAAGAAGCCAAGTTGACTTGGAATTTGTCCAGAAAATTGGTTTTCTGACAAGTCCAAATCATTAAGGACAGGTAGAGAACCGATTTCCTCTGGAATTTCTCCAGAGAGCTGATTTCCACCAAGGTTTAAAGTAGTAAGCCTCTTCCACGAGATCACATCTGATGGAAGGGTGCCAGAGAGTCGGTTATGATCGAGCCAAAGAATAGTTATAGCAGGAAGAGCTGTTAATTCTCTTGGAATTGTGCCACTAAAAAGGTTATGACTGGCCTTAAATTTTTGCAGATTCGTCCAAGAACTCACTCCAGCAGGAATTCTACCAGAAAACCTATTATTGCTGATCTCAAGAAGAGAGAGATCCCTTGACATTTTATCAGGAAGCTCACCTGTAAACTTATTATCACTTATCTGCACATACGACAAATTTGATGCCGTCCATAACCCCACAGGAATTTTCCCAGTAAAACCATTGTTGTAAATGCTAATCATTAACAAACTGTTACAATTCCCAAGAGATTCAGGTAATTCTCCACTAAGATTGTTATCAAAAGCTACTAGTCCGACCAACTTACCTCCAGCACATAAGTAATCAGGTAGCTTGCCTCTAAGGTTATTGGAAGCAACCTGGAAACCTTCAAGTGCTGCATATCGACCAAAGTCTGGAGGCAGAGCGCCCGATAAATTGTTGGTAAACAATCTGACATCTTTCAATGTTGGAATCCGTCCAATGCTTTCTGGGATTTCACCGGATAATTGATTGACCATTAAACTCAACGATGACAACTTCTCAAGCTTCCCAAAATCATTTGGTATTGGCCCAGTCAATTTGTTCCACGAGAGATCGATGTCAGTCAAGTTTAAAGATTCAACAAACTGAGGAATTTCCCCATATAATGTGTTTTTAAAAAGATATAAAACACTCAAATGTTTCAACTTGAACAAATTGCTGGGGATTATTCCAGTCAAACTATTCCTTGATAAATCCAGAGTCTCAAGCGCAGTCATATTGCCAATTGATTCGGGAATTGAACCAATCAAATTTGCTTCAGTCATCCACAAAGTCTTCAGGTTTCTCAATTGCAAGAAATTTGAAGGCAACTTTGATGGCATGAAGTTTGTATTATATGCCAATCCTAATATTTCAAGATTGTGCAGATTGCCAATTTCTGGTGGGAAAGAACCATTGAACTGATTCTGATAAAGCTGAAGCTCCTTAAGCTCCGTTAAGTTCCCAACACTTGCAGGAATGTCCCCAGTGAAGTTATTGGCGCCTAGGTTGAGGAAACGGAGCTGAGACAAGCTATCAATATCTTGAGGAATCGGACCAACAAAGTAGTTCTGAGAGAGGTCTAGGTACTCAAGCTTAGAACAGTCGTAAAGAATTATTGGAAAGTTGCCCGGAATATTGTTGTATTGTAGATCCAGATATGTTAAATTCTTGAGCTCACAAATGAAGGATGGGATAGTTTCACTGATGCTCATGTTGATGAGTGATAGGCCGGTGATTGAATTGCTAGTGCAGGTGATCTCAAGCCAGTTGCAGTGCGAGGAGTTTGATGGTGTCCAGTGGGCGATGGATGGTGGATTTCTCCAGTGTTGCTTCAGTTTCATTAGCACTTCATGTTCTTCATCATACAGTTGGGAGTCTGCATGGCCACGGAACAGAAGGGCGCAAAAAAGGATTGGGAGAGAGAAGGTGGCGATTTTCAACATTTTGGTATAATTTTTTGTCAGAAGATTGTTAATGGAGCTGCAATATCCAGTTTGTTCTTAGGCAATGTGTGATCACATATTCACAATGAAATCAATGGCGTGTTTTTGGACTACAAATATTGACTTGGATTGTAACGGTTTTCGCAAATCGAGAAAAGGTTGGTCAACCCATACCCCAGAAAATAATTATAAAAAGAAAAAAGCTCCAGCAACGAAAATAATTGGCCAATGAAACAAGAACTTTTACTTTAAACCAAAATAAGATTGTGATTCTATGGCTGAAGTCATGACACCTTTGTGTATAACGTGGAATAAAAGCAAAAGTTTGGAAAGACAGCTTTGATGTGGCCCCGTGAAGCTTCAAGGAAAGAGACTTCAGAGTGAAGGGAGGCCTTTGTTGAACGACGACTTATTAAGTGTTCGAATGGAAGACTATAAAAATCTTAAATACAAACAATTCCACAGGCAGTCAACAGGTTTTAACGTTAAGTTCTACATTCGTATTCCACACGGAAGAATAGTTGCTCATAACTGGAGTTAAACTGGTCTTTACGGAACTCTATTCTCGTTTTTCTCCCCTTTCTTCTACTATTATTTTTTGGAAGAGAGGATTAAGGAATCCAAAGTATTAGCCTAATGGTCAAGAAAGTTTATTCCCTTTTTTAAGTTTTTGAGTTCAGACTACCTATTACAACTACATTATGACTTACCTAATCTTTTGAATTTTTAGAGTGTTTGTTAAGGTGCACATAAACTGACCCAAACACCCAATACCAATCAAATGCATAGCAGGCTCCAATATGAGATTTGGTGTGCCAAACAAAGGAAAGCAATTTGCAAACAAATTTGAACTTTCAACATTCACTCCATCCAAAGGAAAAAAAAAATAAAATAAAATAAAACGTGATCCAAGCCCGAAGAGACATTATCCTTCATTTCTTTCTCGGTCACTACTGACATCAAAGATGATGCTTTGGGCCCTTGGAGAAACATATTTCATATTTGCAAATTCTCAGCAACCACTCGGTAGTTCTAGTTGACCAACCTCCTAGACTTATGTTATAATCTTACGAATGTTTGAACAGTTGTTTTGTTTGTAAAACAGGTCTCTATGTACATGTTTCTCTCCCTTTACGCTTTTAAATTTTATTTACATATCGAAGAAAGATTTGAAATGGTACTAGTTCAAAAAATGAAGTGGCCTCATAAAATTATTCTTATTCCCTACTTATAACAGAACCACACAAGATTTCAGATTGGAGCAAGCGGTTCATACATAACCATATTGCAAACTGGTTTTAAAACAGATTTATCATCTATCATCAAAGATGCTAATTTTGAAACATAACTACCATGATTAATGATAATGACAATATATGGGTTAAGACAACCTCCAGGAGGTTCAATCTGGCTCATTTGGGTCCTTTCTGAAGATCCAAATCCAAGCTATATCAGGCTCCGGGGTTCAAAATTCCATCTTTTTATGCTGTCAGATTAGAGCCACGTCCATATCTTCCCAATTATAATAGTAAAAAATACTTAGAACTATACAAAACACATTTACTGGCTGGCCTTCCTATGCTTTCAATGCCCAAACTTGTTACTTGATAACAGCTATCAATTCCCTGAGTCTATTCTGCAAGTAAAATAGAGCTGAGTAATGGCCAAAAAATATAAAACGGAAACTGGTAGGAACATCACCAAGTTATACATGTACTAACAATACATGTGCAAAGGACTGAGATGGAAGTTTACTTCGAGGCAAATCTGAAATAAAGAGACTTACCCTAATGCACTCAAAAGTTGAGTGCTGAATGAAAGTCCCTGAAGAAAGATTTGCAGGTACTTTTAAGCAGGAACTTCTAAGCAATGGCAAACAGGAAAAAACTCATGAACAATACAGATATTAGGTAAGAAAATCTCTTCCCCAGAATATGCCACAATAAACTCACCGACATTCTTGATTTTTAACTCCAATTTTTTTTCTCCAAGGCTAGGAAGTTTGAACAAACTAGGCTAAAGGTGAGAAGTCTCTGTGATTTAGCATTTCCCAGATATATAAAAAAAAATCTAAGTTGCTAGCCACGCCATTTGGGAATATCTAGTTGACAAGGAAGCTTGAACATATATTTCCTCTTCTGGACTACAGAAATATAAATGATCTAAGTTGCTAATCACATCTTTTGGAAATATCTAGTTGACAAGGAAGCTTGAACATATACCTCCATATGCAACTAGAAACATTCTTTAAGTCTCACATTTTGATAGAGAATTAGCATTTTTTGATGGTTATTTCAAGAGTACCTTTTATTTCAATGTGTCATTGTTTATCTAGGATTTCATTTGTTAGGATTAGAATTATTGAATTTCATTAGTATTTGTTCTGTCAAGCCTACAAATACATCTTGTATTTGTGGGAAACATTATGGTGAATTGACCAATAAAATACCATTGAGACTTGAGAGTTGATTTTGAGGATTTTGCTATCTTTTCTTTGATTTCTCCTCTTAACCTACCTTAGTTTTCTCCATCTCACTATTTCTTGATATGGCTTATTTATTGATTTTCTATCTAAATTTGTCTTATTCTTGACTACATCTATTTTAATCTACCTGTTTTATTTTTTCTCTTCTACTGTTCCTCACTATCTCTTCTTTGATTTCTCCTCTTAACCTGTTTTAGTTTTCTTCATCTCCCTATTTCTTGATGACTTATTTCTTAATTTTCTATCTAAATATGTCTTATTCTTGACTATATCTATTTAAATCTATATGTCTATTCCTCTTCTAAATCGATTTGATTTCAGAGCAAGTTCAAGTTTTTTGTTATTTTCTTAACAAAAACACTAGACACAACAAAAACCCTAAAATTCCCATTCATAATTTTTTAGGCCATAAACCCCCTTTATACAGAAGCTTTTAAGAAAAGAAAAAAACAAAACTTACCCTGATACCAAATTGAAGCAGAGGGAGAAAACAAAATACAAATAGATATAAAATATATATAATTAAGAATAAGACAAGTTTAAATACAAATAATTAGACAAATAGGGTAAAATAGATGTAATTAAGAAGACAAGTTTAGCTACAAGAAATAAGTCAAGAAATAGGGAGACAGAGAAAATTAAGATAAGTTAAGAAGAAATAGCAAGAAACTTGAAAACAACTCTTAACGCTATTTTATTAGTCTATACACTCTTAACATTTCCCACAAATATTCATAGGCTTAACAAAACAAATACAAGATGTATTTATAAGCTTGGCAAAACAAATACTAATGAAAGATAAATTCTAATAACTCTAATCCTAAAAATATAATTACAAATAAAATCCTAATCCTGACACTAATAATTGCAATAATATCCTAAAAATACTAACATCACATTTACTCTCCCATTTTTCATAGGTGACATTTGAACTCCTTTCCTTTATATTTACTAGAAACTAATGATGAAATAATAAATAGAAAGTGAATAACGTACTAAATATATCATGATTTTATTATAACTAAATTCATTAAAAGATTCCGGAGTGGAAACCTATTACTGATAATGTAACATGCTTGTATTATTGTAAAAGGGACAGGTGTATTGTGTAAGCTTCAGTTTCGGAAAATACCATGCATTGTACCTTTCTACTCAAGAAAAAACCTAACAAAAGACTTACTATTAAATTTATTTAGACATCAAATTTTATGATCTGGAAAATCAGCTACGTCTAAGGGTCAAAGAAAACATGAATCTTTGTAAAACAGATGCATATATCTATGTGGCACATATCAACATTTCATGAACTAGCATACATGTTTCGTATTTGATCTTTGAAAGAAGCAAACTGCAAAGCAACATAATTGACCCAACACTCATAGCCTCTAATGGTTAGTGACATGGGATAGTAGCCAAAACCATGGTAGCGTGATGCCAAATGCGAAAACACTACTTTCCAATCATGGATACCATAGATCTACTATTACTTTTGAATAAAAATATACTTGAACTAGCAAAACTTTTTAAAAGTACGTAAAACATTGTCTAAATTGACTTCAAATTGACTAGGTAAGGTTCCTTAAGCTTCTTATTAATTGATCCCTAAATCCGCTCTTTCTTGACTTCATTATGGAGGACTAAACTTCTTGGAAGAAGCAGCCACCCTTTCAGCCATAAGATATAGGATTTTTTTAGCACTGAATTGTAAAGATGAATAACTTCATTATGGAGGACTAAACTTCATGCAAGATGCAGTCACCCTTTCAGCTATATTATATAGAATTTTCTAGCACTGAATTGTAAAGATATGGGTCAAGTCATATCTAAAGCTCTTCACCTAGAGCAAGCCAATGATACTCACTAGAGGAATACTTAAAAGTACCGTGTCTGTATTTGATGCCATCTCACAAACATCCTTAAACATAAAACTTTCACGAACCAATTCTGTTTGCCAGCATACAGGTAATCTAAAAGCCACTTATGAACACAAAGACATTACATATAAATAATGAATCATATAAAATAGCATCGCAATCTTCAATCTCTGTTATCAGTAAAAGAGACTGCAAGAGTAACTATTGCCAAAAACAACTTGTTACCAACACAAATAAACAGAAACCTCCGTGTATACTAATGCGATCCTTTGCCTCAAAACCAGGAAGCAATTCATCAACCAACATAAGACACGAAAGCTTGATACACTGAGCATTCTACGTTACTTTGACATAGACCATACAATATTTCCATTCATGTTCACTGATATCTTCAACATCTTTAAATCAACGCAAAGATAAAATCACATTTCAACAGTTACAAACCCCACAGGAATTTAACACAAACCGCAGTAAAATGTTGATACTATTGATGAAAATACAAGCTCATACATATGAAACATTTTTACCAATTTAAGCCGACGGCTCAGAAGAAGCTACAGATTGAAGAGAAACGTTATTAAGCCTCTCGAGAGACAAAATTAATGCTTGAGTACCCAAATTGCCTTCTCCATGCGCCTTGAGCGACAAATAAAGCTGCTGCGCCAGAGCCAGCCCAGGCAAAGCAAGTCCCATACTTTGACACTCCTTTAAACAAATCCCTAAATCTTTTACAAAATGATTCACATAAAAGCCCGGCTCAAAATCTCTCTTTAAGCTTCTACTACCGTACAAGTCCAACGACTTGGACCCGCGGCTCCCGTGGATACGCGTTTAAGAACAATTCCACCTTAGCCCTGCTGTTGAGCATAAATCTTCCCTCTACTAATCCCAACATTGTAGAAGCAATAGTAATTGATTAGCTAGCTTCGCGAATTGGCCTTTCCCACTGCACCCATGTAATTAACTTTCCCCAAGCGGGAAAATAGGGGATTCACTTTGTTATAACGGATTATCCCCTCCCGCAAATATCGCAAGCGTCCCGTTTTTGGCACCGCGGTCTCACCAGAGACAGGAGCGTCGATTGCGGAGCAGTTTTTGGAGGAGGCCGCGACAGATATCTCGCAGGCGAGTGAAGGTTCAGATGTGGTCATGTCCACGATGATTCCACCAGGACGGAGCCAGAGAGGACGCCGGACGCTGGGTGAAGGATGACGTGGCGAACATCGGAAGGGTATCCGACGATGGAGAAAACGACGTCGGATTGGGAGGCGACGCGTGGGGGGAATCAGCGAGGTGAGCTCCCATGTCGAGGAGTGGTTGAGCTTTGGCGACGTGCGGTTGAAGATGGTGACTGTGTAGCCGGCTTTGAGTAAGTGACCGCACATAGAACGGCCCATTACGCCTGTGCCAATCCAGCCTACGCGAGTGTGGATGGACTCATGAGCTCCGTGACCGGGTGCGGTAGTATTGATCGGCGGAGGGTGTTTAGGGTGAGATGGAGGTTGAGAAAATGCGAGCGTAGTGAGAGGAAGAGTGAGGGGTGGCAGGGGCATGGTTATCAATATCCAAATGATCCAGATTGGGTGGAAGTGAATTTTACTTCAATTTTAGGGACTTTTTAGACACAACACTCATCATACGAAAGGCCACGAGGTCCTCTTAAGTTTCCACGATTCCAAGTTGAGTAAACGACCCAAAACGAAAAAAATTTCAAATACTAGGCTCCGTTTGGTTCACAATTGGGTGTTTTTGGGAAAAGTTTTTTGAAAAAAGTAAAAAAAAAGTTGAATGGGCGGGTATTACGATGTAGGATTTATAAATTAATAAAATACCCGCTATATTTGTTTCTTTACAAAACACCCCATAATAAAATCTTAAAAGTTAACAAAAACACCCCCAACCCAATGTCAAATACGGACAGCCGGCCACTACGCCGGAGGGGGCCGGAGTTGCTGTAACAAAAAACATTAAAAATATTTAGGGGTATTTAATTGAATTAACAAATTTAGGGGGTTTAAAAAATGTTGAATAAAGTTGAATAATATTGTGAGTTTTTGGGTATTTTACTGTTTAACTTTTTTGGGAATACTAAAAGTAGTATTCCCAATTGGCAACCAAACGGAGCCCTACTTTTTCACCCAAAATTAAGGCTCCGTTTGGTTCACTTTTTAACACTTTTTAAAAAAGTTAAAAAAAGTTGAATTTGGCAAGTATTACGATGTAGGATTTGGAAATTAATAAAAATATCTCCTATGTTTGTTTATTTACCCCCATAATAAAACATTAAAAGTTAACAAAAATACCCCCAACCCACCCATCAAATACGGACAGTCGGCCACCACCGCCGGAGGGTGGTTGGAGTCGCCGTATCGACGCATGACTGGTTGGATCTTGCTAGTCAACGACGGCCAAAGATACGGCCGTCGTTGATGGTCAACGATGACCATATGTTGGCCTTCGTTGACGATTGGATACGGCCAAATCGTTGGCCTTAAATCTAGCCTTTTTCGGCCAGATCCACCGTGGATCTTGCCGGAAAAGACTAGTCGACGCACTACCGACCAGATTCAGTCGGTAGTGCGCCATTATACCAGATTCAGCCGGTAGTGCGCCATTATACCAGATTTTGGCCATCTTCCGACAGTGGTGGATGGAATCTGGTAAATGTGGGTTGTTGGGGTGTTTTTGCAATTTCAAAAAAAAATATTTAGGGGTATTTAATTAAATTAACAAATTTAAGGGGTTTGAAAAAAGTTGAATAATATTGTGAGTTTTTGCAATTTTACTGTTTAACTTTATTGGAAATACTAAAATGTGAGCCAAACGAAGCCAATATTCTGTTACTACTTTAAGTCGATTCTAACAGCAAAAATTTTCTCCATCACCACCATTTGAACCTCTCCTCTCTATAAAACCCGTCTCACTCTGACACCTGATTTTTCGCCAATTGTTAGCCACCGTAAATTTAAGATTTCTTGTTCTTCACTGATTTTCAATTGATTCCAACGACAAATATTCAATCGATTACCACCATTCATTCACTAGTCTTCACTTTACAAAAACCTTCTTACTTTAACTCTTGATAACTTGCTGAACGCCGAGTGAAACACTGAAGTGTATTTTGGATATTAATGGAATATAAACTTTAGGTGGGAAAGGGTATTTTGAAACTTTGTAGGTGGGAAAGTATCATTAAGGCAAACATTGGGTGTGAAAAAATCGTTTACTCTTCCCAGTTATGGCTTTATCACAGCCCAAAATGGGCATTGCATTAGACCAATTGAGTTCCATTCCAAGTAAATCAAACCAATAAACTGAATGAATCCAATAGGTGAAGAACATAATAGTGCTATAAGAATGATTATTCAAAATCTCGATGAGTAAGCATAATACCTGAAAAAAAAATTCCCATTTCAACATTTTCACCCCTAAAGTTTTAATTTGAGAGATCAAATCATTAAACTCAAATATTTAGACAAAAGGAATGCAAAAACTCTAAAAATTTTAAAGGGAGACTTCTGTTTCTACTTAAAAATGTTAAGAAAGACTGGGACAAAGACATGAATTAAATCCATGAAATTGTTTTTAGTGAACCCAACACCACAGAAATGTCAAGGCAAACAGACCTTGCAGATAAACATGTTCATAACCACTAAATAGTTTTGCAATCATAAAATTGATGATACTGCAAGGTTCAATCCATGTTCCTGATGCTGTGTATTTAACTGGATCCATAATTGATTCTATGTATGTTGAAACTACAGAGTGAAATCTAGGAGTAAAACAATGCAAGTTGTTATCAAATGGCCATAAAGAGACTGCTTGGATCCTGTTCGATAAGAAAAGATTGTGAATGTCAATTAGGAACCAGAAAAGCGTGTGCTAATATAGGAACAGATAATACATTTGGTCGGTTCCCCATCCCTGATATCTTCTCTAAGCTTGAATGGTAGCACAAGCAAAATAAATGATAATTATCAGTATATACACACAAAGAAAAGTATTTGTCAGAAGTGTCAATTTTATGACAAATATTAGTAATAAGTCAATATGTTTCAGGTTTATTGCCACAAAATAGTTCCAGGACTGATAAGCTTATGAAGTAGACAAATATTCAAATTCTCAAATACGACAAAGTGAAGAATATTGAAGTATTGCCACATATGGCTAACTGAAAGTACCATATACATTATCGAAAGAACAGAATTAATGTAATCTAGATTAAAACAAAAATCATTTGAGTCGTTAAAAAGAAGGCAAAAAAAAAAAAAAGAGAGAGCAATTATAGACATTACATGCAGCATAAGCCCACCGCATGCAAATGAGGTCTTATTTACTGTCCACAAGCAGAAGGGATACAATGTGGAGTAACAGGAAGTTAAAAAAACTGAAAAAGAAAACAACACAAGAGTACATACAGGCAGATTGACACCAAACAGAACATAAAAATCATCCGAGTTGAAACACATTGATTTTAGTAGCATTAATTTGTTTACAAAACAGCCATCCAGAAACATGGTCATCTAATCTGTATACCTGCCACAAACATAGTCATATAAGCTGTATATCAGCCACAAACATGGTCATATAAGCTGTTATCTAAGAGCAAGCGCTTCCTATAAGTAATACTCTATTTCAACAACTCTTCATTTCCTCCATTTTCCAGACAACCAGATTGTGTTTCATTGATTATCTATATGCTGCTTTACCACTTACCACCATAATCTTCAAAAAGCCAGCAAGAGTCATATAAAAAACAGGCACCAATTGATGAACCAAGAGAAGAAAGAAACTAAAGAAGTAGAAGTTTTAGGGGAAAAAATAGCTTAAGTGATGCGGACATTATTTGCAAAAGAAATATTGATCCAAAATTTATATGTCAGAAATCTGAAACCCACAGCTCATGAAGCTTAAAAATAAATAAATAGAAACCAGATTATCTAAACAAAATATGCCATAATGCATATTCATTAAATTTCGGATTCTATCTGAATTATTCTACAATGCTAACTATATATTAATAAATCATTCAAGAAACAACAAAAAACACTGCTTTCGCTCACTACCATTAGTTATGACATAAATAATCAAGATCACGAAACAAACTGCAGTTAAAGTTGAATAGTTCAATCTCTTTAATCGAAGACCTAATTTTTCACTTGTACTCAAAATTGGGCACCGGAGGCGCATCGAAACTCTCCAAAATCTCGGTCTTACTTCCACTGGCCGCCAGGGTTTCTTTCTTCTTTCCTCCACTAAAGAACCCTCCAAACCAACCTGAATCCGACTCAGAAGAACTTGATTCCAACCCTTGCCCGGGCTGACCCGGTAAGCCAGCAGGAAACCCAGGCCCACCAACCATAGCGGGGACCTCCTCCACCAAATTCGGCATGACTTGCGGGCCACTGAGGGCTTTATTAAGCATGATCCCAGCTCCTTCGATTAGCGCCAAGAGAACGCCGCCGAATAGAGCGGAGCGAGCCGAGGCGCCGAGCCCCTGGCGCATGGAGAGGAACCCGCCTGCGGCGGCGCCAGCAAAGATGGAGTTCCAGGGGTCCTCTTTCTGACGGAGGTAGACCATGGAGCAATCGAAAGTCGAGAAAAGCCCACCCCACACGGCGAAGCTTCCGCCTACACGGGGCGCGTTCATACGAACGGCTTGGGTGCCGCCGATGAGACGGGAGCTACTTGGGGAGTTATAGACACCTTTAAGGAAGTGGAAGGCGGAGCCGCCAACAGCACCCATCCCGAAGGCTCCACCGATGTCGTCTAGGATGCGATCTGGACACGGTTCTCTGGACGTCTCTGGAGTTCCCATCCCAGCTCTGTTTGTTGTCTCTTGTTTCCGAGACGGGCAAGATTTTTCGGGGGTTTTAAGTTTTAACTCGTTTATTACTTCTGGCTCAAGCAAATAAGTACAACGCTCTCTAGGTTTTTGTGTGGCAAAGGTTTGGACTTGGGCTTGGGTTTGGGCCCATAAGTTGCTTGGGTGATTTGACGAAAAGGTCCTTGGAAAAACAAGGGATAGAGACGTTTTCTTTTTTTACAAATCAAAACCAGGTTTTTAATATGTATATATAAAATTTTACAAATATAATCCTTATAATCTAATGAATTTGTACTAGGGAAGTTTTCTATTATTAACCATATAATCTAATGAATTTGAAAAGAAGCATAAACTAATTATTTTTAATGCCAGTGCATCATCAATTTTTAAATTAGTGAATTGAATTTATATTAAAAATATGTATTTTAATAAGACAATATTATATTTACAACTCAATCTTATAAATTTTTTCTTACAATCCTGACATGACAAATTACAATTGGTCAGCTCTCGTTTGTTTAATTGTGAGCCGACTAATTATGAACTATTACGTCAAGATTGTAAGAGAAAATTTGTAAGATTGGATTGTAAACTAATCTTTATTGATTTTAATAACTTAATCTATTGTTAATATGGCACAAGGAGGTCTTGAACTGATTCTAAAACTATATTTAGAAAAAATCCAACTAAGAAAAAGGTCTTAACAAACTCCTTGTTTCGGACCCACTGATCTATACCCAAGCAAATTTCAAGGAGCAACGGATCCTTCCCACCGTGGGCAGCGATTGGGCCCAAGAAAGAAACCCTTTATCACTACGACGTCGTATAACTTTCAACTAGCTAGTCCATTTCCTGCCTCGTAAAACCTAAACCCTCCAGATAATTTGACAGAGAAAGAGCAGAGCTGAAGAATTAATGGGTTTGTGGTTAAGTATATTGATATTTTTTACCTGATAAAACAGCCATCCAGGTATTCCTCTTTTCATCAAACTGCTGTTTCAACTTCATTCATTCATTCATATTAGTTTACAAGTAAAGCATATCATTATATCTTTTGCACACTATGTATTCTAATTTAACAAGTAGCCAGGCACTACCCTTGGCAATCAGAGTTTCCTCACAACCCATCAGATTTTTTAAACATCTCCACCCCAAATCACAATATTTTCCAATTCTGTCTCAGCCAAAACCGCCCTTAAACCCCATTGTCTTCAACTTCGCCAAGAATGGTCACAAAAGTTTCAGCTCTTTGGAACCCACTAGTTTTTCAAATGAATTTTGTCCCAAGTCAATGGGAATGAACACTTTAGGTAAAGCAAGGAGTATCTCAAGTGTCTTTGGGATGAAAAGTGCTGTACAATGTTGTGCTTTGGTTAGAGGTAGGAGTTTTTCAAGCTCATATTTATCGAGAGTTGGTGAAGGTGGTCGTGATTTAAGAGTTGGAAAGTCACGTCCTTGGTTAAAATTAAACAAATCTAAGGAAGCAAAAGGGTTCAAGAAAGTGAGGAGCACTATGAATATTCGTTCATCTTGGGAGGAATCAGCAGAGAGATTGCAAAAAGGGAGTAGTAGCTATCCCTCTTGGGAAGAATCCGCCAAAAGGTTGGACAAAGTGACAACTACGAAAATTAGCCATTCGTCTTGGGAGGGATTACCTGAATCTTCTGTTCAGAATATAGAAAACAGAAATTTAATAGTAGGTAAGCCAAAGAATTACCAAAATGGTCATGTCAAAAGCAATGGAAATGTTGAGGAGGAAGAAAAAGAAGCAGAAGTAGAAGTAGAAGGAGATGTGGAGGTTGTTGAAGAGCATAGATGGGATAGGAAGAAGAATATGTTCAGAGGGGACAGGAAAGTGTGGTCTGAGAAACCTGAATTCCGGAGTTGGAATAAGCAGGAAAATATGGAAAGAAGGACATGGAAAGAGCCTACCGAATCAACTGTACCTAAGATGGTCGGTGAAGGGTTATATGGAGTAGGTCCTGTTTTGGCTGCTTTGTCAGCTGGAAGAAGAGAATTTTATGCATTGTATGTTCAAGAAGGATTGTCTTTGAGTAGTAATAATCGGAAGAGGAAGGACAAGAAAGGGTTTGAGAAGGTATTGAAAATGGCAGAAAATATCGGAATAAGTATAAAGGAAACCTCAAAGCATGACCTCAATATGGTTGCTGATAATCGCCCTCATCAGGGCCTTGTGCTAGATGCTTCTCCATTGGAGATGGTAAAGATAAAGGAATTGGACCCTGTTTCAATTGAGGAAGACCAAACGTCTCTCTGGGTAGCATTGGATGAGGTCACAGATCCTCAGAATATGGGAGCTATCATTAGGTCTGCTTACTTCTTTGGAGCTTCAGGAGTGGTGTTATGTGCAAAAAATTCAGCTCCATTAAGTGGTGTTGTGAGCAAGGCAAGTGCAGGCTCACTTGAATTAATGGAGTTGAGGTATTGCAACAATATGATGCAGTTCTTAATATCCTCTGCAGAAAATGGCTGGCGAGTTCTTGGAGGTTCAGTTTCTTCAAAAGCAATTGCCTTGAATGAGATCCCCCCCGGTCCACCGACTATACTTGTTTTGGGCAGTGAGGGTACTGGATTGAGGCCTTTGGTGGAGAGATCATGTACCCATTTGGTTAAGATCCCTGGAAATATTCCGGTGGATGTAACTGCTGGAGTAGATGATATGGCCTCTGACGAACAATTTCGGTCATTTATGGCTGTCGAGAGCTTGAATGTCAGTGTTGCTGCAGGTGTGCTTCTTCACTACTTAATTGGGCACCAGTCCAATGATAACCGCCACATTGCTGATATTTCAACTAGTACACATGATTAAGGTACCATGCCCAACTTTTGCCTCAGTATGCTTGTACACTTTAACTGCCCCTTTTCTTTCTTAGAACCATATACTGATGGTAAAAATTTTGTGCATTTTGTGGGGTGTTCTCGAATTCATACAATGTAAATGGTTGCTTGATGATAAGGGAAGCAACACGCTTGGATGGGAATATATTGCCCTGGAAATTGATTTTTTTTGGTAATCGAAGTTTTTCCTCAATTCATGACTATGATCGTCTTGCAATTTTTTTTCCAATTTACTTCACTAGTTTTGATCATCATCAGGAAAGTAACTCTTATTTATAACTAGTAGCTTTACAAGTTCTGTTGGCTCAATAATATCTATTGCAGGTGTGCATGAATAAAAAGATCAACACAATAATGAATGTAAGAAATGCATAAGAGACAGAAGAAACCAATGATGAATCTCACAAGTATTGGTTAGTAATTTGTGATTGGAATTCAACGTAACAGGTATTTTTGTGTGAAGCGGGGTTTCTTATATCAAATTTGAGAGTATATGATTTCCTTTTCTTCACCTGTGGATGTCCCTAAGATACCAGTACAATGTAACTCTGATTTTTTTTTGGTAAATGGGGTGGCCGGCCAGCTTGCGCTCAACTCTGATTTTATTATTATTATTATTATTATTATTATTTTAACAAATCGAATGTGACACTGCTTGTGTTATGTGTGCACGGATGGGAGTTACCCAACTTTGTATTACAAGATAATTTCACGAATGTGTTTTCTCTGGTTCCAACACCAACAGACTGACCACTTGAAGGGAAATGCTAAACATCCTATGATTATTACCGGGATCAATGAATTCTATAATTTATGATATCATTATTATTCTGGTAACCCCCTAACAACAAGCCATGTTAAAACACCAGTATTGTTCCAAAATAAAAGGTGAAATGTTCTCTTTTGGCAGCTGCATGGGAAACATACCAGTAATACTTTTACCTTTTGCCATTAATTAGATTACTATGTTAAATTGAATGGGTGCCTACTGTAAATTAGGCTGACATATGTAGTTGAAAAACTTTAACCACTGCCAATGGTAATATATATTTGATGAACCATCTAGGGAAGTGAGATCCGGAAATTTATCTGCAATGGTTATCTTTCTTAAAAATTTCATCCTTATCAAAATCATAACGAAGGAAAGGAAAGATTATTAGACAAATTTGATGAATTATTATGTAGTTTATGAGGAAGTTAATACTGGGTTATTATAATGGCGATAAGTGCCTATGAGCATTAGTTAACATCCTTGAAGTGATTCAAATTACCCTCGTTAATATTTGAAATTTTGAATAACGCAACAACGACAACAAACATGAAAAGGATTAATATAATACGGCAATTTCATTAGAAAGAAACTGAAACTGGAAGTCAGAAAGCATACAACCATGTCAACAAAAACAAGTAGCCCATTACAGCCCAATGGGAAAGTTTTTCAAACCACCCTTAGGTTGTGTATTATCTGTTGTACCCTGGACTTTTAAAATTATATCATAGACATCCCTGACCTGACCTCCAACTCTAATATCTGGCAATTAAGAGTCACTACTAGGGTAGTGTCATCATAACTCATCTCTCCGGCGCGATCTCTCGGCTTATCCAAATTCCTTCCATTTTTACAGGTTATTATTTTTTAAAGCTTAACTTGTTTTTCTTTTCTTTTGCTCTTCAGAAACAATGATTTAAATGTATTTCTATTTTTTTCTTTAAAATGTTGACGTAAAGCAAAGGGCAAACTAACTAGCATAAAAGCATTTTACAAATAACTGAAATGAGCTCCATTTAGTTTTGTTCTTTTTTGTGAATCTGTTGAAACAGAGTAAGGAGCTGGATTTGAGATATGGTTTTAGTTGTGGGAGCACTAATTTTAGCTGTCATTTTGGGAGTATTTCTTTTGATCCCACGAGACCGTAAATCTGGTAATCTTTAGATTTCTCTCTTTATTTTGACAGACTCAAGTGTTTGATTTTGTATGCGAACCATATTTAATTTGTGTATGTTTGTTCGATGCAGCTTATTCAAAAACGGTTCACCCAAATGTTAACACTAATAAGGTACTTTTGATCTTGGGAACTTTAAAAAGTATCCTTTGGACTGTTACACGTTTGATTTTGAAGCTGATTCTGTAGCGTTTTACCTGCATAACTTTATTTTGATGCTGAGGAACTTTTAGAAGATAAGAAAGTTCGAATGTTTTTCTGATCAGAAGAATATGGAATATGAACACCTTCATCATACTTTATTGCCCAAAATGATCCTAAACGGCTGTATACAATGTAGTATTAGGAGAGTATTTCTAATGATATTTCTTTTTGTGCTTAGTTGCATATGTCATAGTAAATGTGGCTACTTAACTCTTAATTATAATTTTAAATGTTCTTTTGTGTTCTTAGGCATCCAAACTCTATAGTAAGACTGAAGTCTCTTTGCATAATAAGAGAACTGATTGCTGGATAATCATCAAGAACAAGGTATTATCTCTGTATTTGGCTTGATTCTCCATCTTAAACTTGGAACTATTTAAATGGTGTTAATGTGATTGGACATTTTTTGTGGTTCCTTTTTTTTCTAATTATTGCAGGTGTATGATGTTACCTCATATGTAGAAGAACACCCAGGTGGTGATGCCATCCTAGCACATGCTGGTGATGATTCAACTGAAGGATTTTATGGGTATGCCTCTATCAACTGACTCCTCACTTTCTGTTTATTTTCACCACTCATTTAGCAATTTCAAACTAGGTGATTCTGTCCATCTTTGAGTTCTGTCCAATAAAATATGTAGTATAGAAAAATGTCTTCTTGAGTATCTCTCTTATATTTCCTGTGAACTAAGGGTATGCCTCTTTTTCTCTTATAAATTTATTACTAATCAGAAAAATAATTATTGTCAATAGCTATTGTAATTAACCTCTCCTTGGCTCTATTACTCTTTGAATGATAGTAGTGAAGCATCACAGAAGTTTGCTTTTTTAAATGACAATTTTCTCTAAACTTCTGAATACGTTAGAAACCTCTCCTGCAATATATCAAAAAGTTACCCTTGGTTTTACCAGATTGTGTCAAAAATCTCCGTGGTTGACATAAACCACGAATTGTATATCACCTGTATATTAACTTAAGCTTAAAATTGCAGAAAGATGTATAGATTATACCCCCGATAGTTAAAGTTCCTGATTTGTATGCCGCAACTCCAGAAATATGCTTGAATCTCTATTCTCTGAAACTCAAAACAGGACCACCATCAGAACTTTCAATTTTAATGGATAATTTTTCAAACTTAAATATTTCTTGACTTCTTCGTTATCTTTTCCTGGTGATTTTAATTTTATATGCATGTAGATGAGCACAGGTAGTTAAAGTTCTGAATTAAATGTTGTAAAAAATTATTTTTTTTGGTTCGATGGGGCAGACCACAGCATGCCACCAGAGTTTTTGACATGATTGAAGACTTCTACATTGGAGACCTGGAGCAGTAATTTGTTGATAGCCAGTGGCTTGTAAAAACAACCAACAAATGTACTCGGAAAACTTTTTTCTTCTATTGGATTCGCTAGTTCTTCCCCACATTATGGCCAGTTACCTTTTACTTTAAGGAGTCATGATCATGATTATGTTCTTTTCATTTATGTATTTTTTATTATTTTTCCGTGAATTTTTGGGGTTTGAACTGATGTTGCCCAATCTCCAAATTGCAAATTTTTCTCAGTGCATCATAGCTCATCGGCCTTTGGCTACGCAAAGATATTGAAAGCGTTTGTCAAACTGTTTCCTTGTAAATTCTAATGACGTTGCCTGGAATTGGATTTCAAATTGGAAGGGACAGTGTGGGATAAGGAAAAAAAGAAATTTTGTTTATCCAGCAAAACAACTTATCATACTGTCAGATTGCAGAAATCGGGAATTCACAAAAGTGTCTAAGATTTTGAGTTTCAACTGTATAACAAATCTGTAGAATTACAGAACAAGAATCAATACAAATTACAAGATCAGCCCAGACTACAGTGGGTTGATGCTGAAGAATGAAATTGATTGAATGGGGGATAAAAAAAGAATGAGCCAAAACTTCCTAGTGGCTAAATCACTAACACCAACCAATTTGAATTTGCCTAGTGATACAATAGACCATATATAATCAAACAATGATAATTTACTTCTGAAACCCTTTCCACCCATCAGATCACGACATGCAAGAAGAGTGATTACAATAATTTGTATGAGGAAGCTTAATTCTAGATATCAAATTTCTTAGGCTGATGCCACTGTGCCAAACTTCTGGCCAATGAGCTGACAAATGAGATCTTTTGTGGAGCTCCTTTCTTCCCATACAAATGCTTTCCTCCCAAATCTGTAAAAGTTGGACCCATATTCTTGCTTCGTTCAATCTGCAGAATGCATAAATATTGCTGTTACGGAAAGTTGCAGATCAAAACTGAAACTTATTATATTTGCTTAATTGCTAATTGTTAATCTTGTATATATATTCATAACTAATAAGTCAAGCATTTGGTTAACAAAATGCCACCAACTCGTAGACATCTACAAGACAAAAAATGTTTATTAGGTCCATCCTTCTTTAAAAGATGCGGAAATAATATTAAACGGCCTTGTAGAAGCAACATATTTACTTGGACCATCAAACAGATTGTTACACTGAGCCTTAAAATATATTGTTTTCAGTCATATTCAAGCACCGGTAATAGTCCTGGCATTAAATTTAAAGATGAAATTTCATGCGGAGAAAATTAACACTTTGGCCTTAAAGGACATACCTTGTTTATCTTCCCATTCCTCAAGTGATATCTGATACCAGACCAATTGATAGACTGAGAAAAATGAGAACGAAATGCTGATAGAGGGTATAAAAAGTTATCCACCACCAGTGCAATGAATACCTGCTCCGTAGCAAGTCACGTCAATTACATTAGAGTATACTCGTTAGTCATCTTTATAATGCCCCAGCTCTTAATCAAACAATGTTCAGATGTTAGTTTAAAAATCAAGCATTTTGTGTGTTTTTCAAATCCTATATAATCATAGTCATTTGTGGAGTTCATCACCAGTGTAGTAAATGAATTTCTTGTTTAGAAATTCCTATTCTCCAGTACTGTTCTTTTTATGTGTTTTTAGATTTAAGAAACAGACAATTATTTTCGAAACCAAAAAATTAACCTCAGCTTCCTCACACCAAAGGTAAAGATTCATCTGCTCATTCATATAAAGCTTAAGATGGATTTGAAGCAAATCAGCGCAAGGGGTTTATTAAAATAAAATAAAATAAAAATACCTTTCATAAACAGAGGCAACTGAATATTATTTTGACCACTATAAAGAAGGTCCACCAAACGAAGAGAGCTAAAAATACTTACAAGGCCCCAGTTATATGTAGCAAGTGAAAGTCTTGGTGCCTCAGGGGATAGCATGTTGCACAGCTGGACTTCTATCCTTGTCAAGTTCCACATTGATAAAAGTTCTGTGAAGGTGCAAATAGCTAGGCAGCTTACCAGTAACAACCCTATTCAAAAGCAGTTGGCCCAGCTATAAGAACATAGAATTATTACATACAAACAAAGTGGAGTGCTCTGGCATAAGCTTCTCATTCCTAACATATAAAACATCAGCAGATAATTGCAACCTACAAATGTGAAAGTGAGAAGAATATATACTCAACAGGACGTGAGGACTGTTACTAACATTTATAGTGGATAAATTAGATTGAAAAACTCCTGCCCTGATATCAATGGATAATAGCACACATTACATGAGGTAGAGGGAGGGAGGGACTTTAATTTGTCTGTAACATTCAACACCAATAATTATCAACATAACTACAATCAACAATTTACTTACTATGGTCTTCTATGTGATTACATAGACTACCAATCCTACAGATAATAAATCTATCACAAATATCCCTCATTAAGATACAAAAGCTGTATCATTACATACTGTCATGTCTTGGCATATAGAATAAGTTAGACACAACTTCATCCGGCATCGGCATAATATATTTCATCTAAATTAGCACTAACCTACCTAACAAGAATAATTAGTGTGCTCACCACCAGAAGTAATGTTTGTTTCCTCAGGTGAATACCCTTTGATATAGGTCCGCAAGGCAGCTGCTATATGCATCAGAGCCATAAAGTATGGTGCCACAAATCCCCATGATAGATAACAGTGGGAAGAAAACAATGCACGATTCATTATCCAATTAACCGTTGATATGTATGATTCCAAAACAAACGTTTGCTTCCTCAAGTAATTCCAGTACCTACACAACAAAACAAAAGTTAACATGGAATGACTCCTATAGACTTAAGTTCAAATGAATCAATATCTCAAACCTTCCAAAATTAAGATCACTGGCAAGGGGATGAGGAAAAACAGCAACTGGAGGTGATGTAATGAGCTTCTTGTGAGCCCCTGAGAAGTTACAAAAGAAAAAGGTTGACAGCTCTTGTTAATATAAAATTGTGATCTGTGACCATCAGTAGACAGGTTGCTTCCCAGTCTACTCTAGTCAGCTTGTAGAGATTACCGGTGAGTACATTACCAGATATAGCTGCAAGAGTCATATCATCAGAGTATCCACCATCTTTGAGTCCAGAGACCACACCATAGCGATCAAGTCTAAAATCATCAGCATGCATCTGGAAACAATACAGAACAATTAGAATAAAACTGCAAGATGGTACATGTAGCACCAGAAAAGATGGTATAGCTACTTGCCATCATGCACCCTCCCCATAGAAAAAATGTTCTCCCACCGGTAGCAAAGCCCATCGAACAAGGCTGTAAGAAAATTCAGCAGTTAGTGAGTGAAAATGGAAAAAGCTTAAAAATAACGGACATGGCAGGTTTCCAATATAATGTCATATAACAAAATCAGCCCACTAATGCACAGTTCCACATTCATTTACAGAACTTTTTGCAACTAAATCAACTGACTCCAACGAAAAAGCTTTTCCAAATCAATAAGGATCAGCTCTTGGCAAACAATTTCAGAATAACTACACTGAGAAACCATCACCCATAAAACAATAGGTTCCTTTGACATTAAATAGGAGTTGATGTTTGCATTGATAGCATATCATGCCGTTCTCTTATTTGAAATTCAAGAGAGAATACAACTTCTTTCTGACACAATACTTGGCATAGATTAACCATCACAAATTTTCTTTTCTCTTATCTAATTCACAGAAACCAAAGCTGTGAGTTTATCATCTACAGTTTAGTTGCACATATTAGGAGATCAATGGAACATTACATGAGTAATACAGGACAATATTAGCATTACGCACACAAACTGTAAGCATGAGAAAAAGAAGAAAGGAAGTTATAGATGGCGCCATACCATATGATATTCATAGATACAGTAACTTCCTAAACTTCCAGAAGGTAAATCAAGAGGGTATCCAGTTTGAATAAAAATCTGCACACCATTGCAAAGAAAGTTAAAAATCATAAGAGGATCCCGTTTTGAACCAAAGCTCATAACCATAAAAGAAGGATACACCTGAAGGAAAAAAATGCACAGGAAAAGATAATTATCCTGAAACAAATACAATTTCCTTAACAGTAGGCATATAGGTGACTCTGATGCAGTACCTCAGGATTTTTTTCCATCTCAGCAGTGAGGGCGCCTATTGTCCCAGGGTGAAGCCTAACATCATCATCCAAAAACAATACATACTTGCTGTCCTTATGCATGTTCTCTACCCCAACCTTCACAAAAGAAGCATATCTATGATTAAGCGGTGACTGGAACCATGCTTCTAACAGAGACAAATTAACAAAATCTTAGGCAAAGAATCTAAATGAGCTCCAATTTCCATACAAGCTTGTACATTCAGCACATCTCTTAGGCTTTCTAGAAGTAATATTCATAAAAAGGGCAAGATTATATCAGACATCTAATCTCAATTAAGAAGTAAAGTTTCAGATAGCCATCCCCAACACATCTTGATTTCTTGCAGAAGAATACAAATAACTAGTCATAAGATATTAATAATATCTTTTATATACAGTGGAAATATAATAGATTCTAAACTTGTTACATACCAACTGGTTATGGATTTTCTGACTACAAGTTGTTGAGAAACCAGCTATAACAATTTTAGCATCGATATCATCCTGTGGACACAAATAATGCAAATAAGTCAGGAAGGGAAGCCATGGTACAGAAGTCCAAAATGATCCCTCAAGCTGCCACATCCATGAACAATAGCTAAAGTCAAGTACTCGGGTTTAACATCCATACTTCCACAGCATCAAGGTTAGAGAAAGCAAGAAAGAAAATAATTATCCTTCCAATCATAACATGCATAACTTACAAAGAACATGTGATGACAAGAGCAAATCACATTCAGTGGATTAGATGTGTACCTTAAAATCTGACAATAACCTAGATACAGCATGGTAAGCAGGGTCTTCTGCACTTTCCAAAACAAAAAGAAATTCTAAAGGACCACCATAAAGTGATGTAATCTGCATACAGTAATGAACAGAAATCAAACCATCTCAAAAACATTATTAATTCAGGCAACTAAGAGAAAGGCTTGCATATTAAACTTGAAATTTTCGACTATAACACTAGTCATTACAATAAAAATAATCTGCCCAGGTATTAGCTTCAAGCTGTTGAAAGCCCTCATCTAGTTAAATCTACTACTGGGGAAATAGAAGTATCTTTAACATTATTAACTTCTAGTTGGGAATAAATATTTTAGAAACTAACCCAAAGCTAACTTGGACATCAAACAGACACAGACTGGACTTGTTTAAGGTTTTGCCTCGTAAATAAGGTGTACATCTGTTTATATGCAGGGGTATAATGTATGTGCCTTAATACATACTAAGACCCCCAACTACACAATCTTTCATCTTGCTAATAGTGATGATAGCAGTCATGACAACCCAAAAAAAGCAGAAACAAAAAAGGTTAACAAATTTCTCAATAGCAAGCTAGAAAAAAAATTTAAAGCTTTCAGAGTCAGTGCTCAGCAGAACTTCTATGCTAAAAAGACTCACCTGACTTCTCCAATTGTGTAGATTGTGTTCTCCAAAACCTTTTAGAGGCATGACCACAGACACCCTTGGCAAATTGACCTGATTGGAGTGCTCAAGTTCATTAATATCATGACAAAGAAATGCCAAGCTATTGCCATGTCTCATGCTATCTTTCATTTGCTTGATCTCCCTATTCCTGAGAGACCAAAAAATAAATAAATAAAGAAAGAAAGACTTCATATATAAGAAGTGCCTCAAGTGGCAAGAAGCTTTAATACCAACATGATAGCAGGAGATAAGCCTTGGAGGCCTATCACCATTATTTCTATACAGTAAATCTTAATACCTGACATAGGCAGCAAAAGCCCAACCAATTGCAAGAATTAAGCAGATTAGACATCCCTACACCAAATGTAAGAGATTCAGACTGATAAGCAATGACAACAGAAAAGAATCAACCTAAGTTTTGAAACAAACAAGTTGCAAGATAAAATGGCAAGCAAGTAGTGTAGGGCAATGACAACAAATATATGATGGCCACAAAGCAAGGGTCAGCTCATATAAGTTTTCTGATTCTCTTCAACATCACATGATGATAAAATAACAAAGCCAATACACAAAGGAAAAGCGAAAATGGTCATTCATGTATAACAATGGGATTCTGAAAGTAATTAGAGCTCCTAAGGTACCACATAAACAATTGAAACCATTATATTAACTATAAAGTTAGCTCTTTAATAACTGCTGAAACATCATCAGACATTACAGGTCAACTATCCCATTAGGTATAATTCTTCTGCTTCATACTTCAATTAGAATGTGCACCTGTGCACTATTAATAACATTTTTAAGACCAGTAAAAATTAAGTGACCTAAGTCTCGTTATAGAAGGCAAATTAAAGGCTACACAGAGAAACAATTTTACAACTCTGTCACAGTTTTCTTCATCTTCCTAGACTCTCCCTCCTTTTTCCCTTGACAAGTAACAGAAACTTTTGTATTAATGGTTAAGTGAGAAGCAAAATAGTGAACAAGTTGTCCCAAAAAATAAAAAAAAATAAAAAAGAAACTTTAAAATTGCAAAACATTTTACTAAATTCTCACATAAACACTTTCTGAACTAAATTCTCTTATTTCAGAACCCAATTATAGCAGCAGAATGAAACCTTCTGTTAACCTAAGTAACATTTTACTTACAAAAGCACTCATTAGACTAAGATAAGCAGAAAGTCATCTCCACGATCAAGAAACATTGTGCTCATAAAACAAGAGTTTTGGAGCGTTAGGTACCATCCTTCATCTGAAACTTTTGAAAATTATAGTAGTGTGACACATTTTAGAGCTTAAAAATTGTCATTGAGCCATTTTGTATTAGTTAAAATATTTTATACTAGTAGGTAGTTCAACAATTACATATGATGATCATAACTAAAAGCAAAACTTCAAAAAATAAAAAAAAAAATAAAAAAACGAACAAACAAACAATAACAATCTAAAATATAAAAATAAAATGAAGAAATTGTTCTTAGGAAACTGTGTCATAAATTTGCATTCCATGCCAAGGCAACAAAATTGTGGCCAAAATTCAAATACTTAACCTCCATTATGCCGCAGAAAATACCAATATCACCGCAAACGTTAACAGAAACTATTTAGAAGAAAATTCTAAGCATTCATGTGTAGCCATTTCAATCAACTTCGAAACTTAGATCCAAAAAGAGTTGTAATGACGTGAAAATGGGGAATTCGAAATTTTAAAAAAAAAAAAAAAAAAAAGGATTCACAATAAACAAAAAGAAAAGATGCTACGAAAATACATCAAACCAAATCAAAATTTGCAACCTTATGAAATTTAAATTCCAGAAACTAAAAGGTAAGCTGAAGCAGTAAAAAATTATAGCGTATTTACGGCAGCCAAACAGAACTGGATCTATATTACAGTAAAAGAAAACAAAAACGTAGCAAGTGACTTACCTGGATCTGAATGAAAATAGCAAAAGGACTACAAAAAGCTTTGGCGAGAGAGAAGAGAAGCGAATCGATAGAGTCCAATGCAGGCATCGTTCTTCTTGCTCTCTCCCCCTCGGTATCTAATCGATCACCTCTAGCTAAGGACAGATGAAATAATAAAAAAAATAAGCAGACTGTGCGCCGTATTTAACAAATCGCCATCAACGGTGAACTAGAGCAACCGAAAAAACAGAAACAGAGAGGCAGGATGAGAGAGAAAGAGACAAGAGGGCAAGTGCGAGAGATTGCGTAATTATATTTATTATAATTTTTTTATTTTTTTTGATTGGGGGAAATTGACCTGTTGAGAGTGGTACTGTGTGTATTGAAGAAAGATAGAAGAGGGAGAGACCGTTGGATGGGTGGTTATATATATATAGGTAAAAGAAGAGAGAAGGAGACGGAGTGGATTTTGGAGGCGTGTGAGGTGGTAGGCACGTGCGGGTGTTTTACTGGTCACTCTCGCTCTGCTCTTTTTAAGAGTCAGGAAGGAAGATGCTACTTTACGAACCGAATCTTCGTTCGCTGTCGCCTTTAAAGCGTTTTTTTTCAATCATCTTCATTCAAATGCATGTACTTTCTGGACGGTGGCCATTGTTTTGGGCTTTTGGCAGTCTAATTGCTACTGCCACGCCAATTCTATTTTGGGAGGTAGAATTGCAGCTTTAACCCAGAGTTTGAAATTTTATTGGAGAATTATTACTTGTGGCAAGGGGAAGAAGCTTTTGATAAATTTTATAAGAAATATTTAACAACATCAAAAAAGATCTGTGATTATCTGCTGTGTCAAAAATACACACTAATATCAACATCATCAATCAAAGTTCAACAAACACTTAAAAGATAAGATGGTATTAACTCTTAAAAACTTAAACGGTCTCTAAAAGATATTTTATATCAATCCTATCCCATTTTAAGATAAAAATTAAGGAATGGTCCATATTAAGATTATTTACAAAAACATTCGTTACATTGAACTTAAAAGAATAAATTGGCACATCTCTTCATGAAAAAGAGAGGTTAGACATATGAGAGTTGGACATAGATTTAAGTTTCATTATTTTTCTCTGTAAACAAAGTATTTCTCCGTTTTTGTACACCTTACATGTAATATCATAAAAATAGCCAAAGAATAATAAAATAACAGTAGATATAGGATTCGCTTTAAGCATCCGAACCACAATAAAAATCCATTTTGTCCATCTTTTATTTATGTTTCATCAAATATATATCATCTCAGCACCATAAACATTTCTCATGAATCATTCACGTGTAATTTTTAAAAACAATTTGACATTTTACACGTCATTGGTGTCAAAATTACGCCTCAACACTATCGAAATAATTTAAATACAACTTATTTAATTGGGTAAACGAATTCTCCCATGGAAAGTAACTAATAAGAGTGGCATTAGTAGATATTTAGTGGACAATGCTTACGTAATTAACATGGGATAAAGACAGATGAGGAATCACCCACGTTACGTGTACAGGAATTAATTTGGTTTAGGTATAAATTAGTCAATAATATAAGTGTGTCACGCTTGGAAGAAAGAAACATTAGACGTTGGGTTAAGAAATCAATTGTGGATTAGGCACGAAAACAAATATAAAAAAAATATTTGATATTACGTATGTTAATTTGGGTCATGTGGATCTTCGGATTATGCTGGAATCTTCTCTTTTAATACACAACACTCTCTCTAATCTTAAACCTTTGAGAAAGATTCACCTTGTCATATAGAAAGTGAGTGATGATTTTTAGACAAGGCAAGAATAAAAATGTTTGTGTTAATGCTGAATACTGGCATCAATATTTAAAAAAAAAAAATTAATTAGCAGTAAATATGCGACAATAGGCAATGATTGGTTGGAAAAGCGAAACAAGGGTAATGCTATGCATGATAATCGTGGGAAATAAATATAAAACAAATATTTGTTTTATAGGTACTTAACATAACAACCATCCCACCACATTTAAATTTAAGATTAGGAGACCGCTCAAAACAGTCATGTCAAGCTCAGACCACTTCACCAAAGTGGACCAATCAAGTTTTAGTTTATATTTCTTAGAAGGGAAAATTTATAAGAGTAAACGACTTTTTCCCACCAAAGGTTTGCCTTGTCACTGTCAAAAGTTTCAAAATACTACTTATCCACCCAATGTTTATACTTCATTTTCTCAATTGATGTTCATCCAGTTACTAGAAGCTAAAATAAAAAGAGTTTTGTAGAGTGAAGGCCGGTGGATTGAATGGTGGTGACCGATTGAATATTCATCATCGGAATCAGTCGAAAATCAGTTAAAAACATGAAACCCTAATTTTACGATGGCTGATAATCGATAAGAAATCAGGTGCCAGAGTAAGAGAGGTAAGAGAGATTTTGTAGAAAGAATACTAGAAGTTCAAATGGTGGTGACGAAGAAAATTTTTATTGCTAGAATCGACTGAAATTGACTTTGGGTAGTAATGGAATATTAACTTTGGGTTGAAAAGTGGTATTTTGAAGCTTTTTGGGTGGGAAAGTGTCATTAAGGCAAACCTTAGGTGTGAAAATTTCGTTTACTCAAATTTATAACTTAATTCTTTTAGACCACATTAGTTTTCCAATATACCCTACAATTTTTGTTGTTACCAAATGTTAAAACTTTTTCCGTTAATATCAAGGTTAAAAAGATAATTATAATATGAAAAAAAATTAAATTAAAAAAAAAACTCCGTACCTCCTATCTTTTTACTCTTTCTACGATTAGAACTCTATTAAACCCTCTTGTTTTTGGTCCACCATTCAAGTCTTACAGTTTCAAAAACTCTCATAAATCCCATTGAAATTAACAGCAGCTATTAATGGGATTGGCATCTAGCAAATAATATTCTGTCTAAAGATTAAAATACTTTTTTCTTGAGGGTTTTTCCCCAACCCCTGAGGTTTAATAAAATGAAAAAAGTCCACTTGATATTTCAAAAATAACCAAAAAAAAAAAAATTTTGCTGTTAGTGTATTGTTTAGGGTTTATAACATGATAGATTGATAGTTGAATGAATATTTACTTAATTACCCCTATATCATTTAGTTTAACACAAACAAAATAATGATAGGGGAATTTTTGTTATTTTTCTAACCATAAAGAGATTTTTGCTATTTGATTACGCTTGAGGGAGATTATTGTTTTTAACTTTTTATTTTTTACAAAATTTTGACCTAAACAAAATAATAATAATATAATAGTAAAAAAAAAATTGATAGATACAAGAAAACAAAAGTAAAAGTATAAAGTCATGTGGAATTAGTTGAGGTACCTAATTCCACATGGAATTAGTATAAAGTATAAGTAAGTTGACCTCACACGCCGATCGAAAAATAATAAATAAAAGCACAAAAAAAAAAGTGGCCACAAGCTAGAAGTGATGTCATTGTGGCTTGGCGAGGCCTCATGTGACGTTGTTGTAGCCTAGCTCAGCCTCATTCAGCCACATATATGTGACGTGGTCGTGACCTTGTTTTTTGGCCAATGCAACATTACATACCCGATCTGGAAATTTTTAAATCTTCTCAAATATATCATCACTTCACTTTATTTAACAAGAAGCAAAATAAGAATTACAGCAAGTATTATTGATGCGTGATTTTTGATACCAACTAATTGACATATGCATAATGTTAATTGGTCAAGAGACACACGTGATTATGGATGAAATGTAGAGTAGATGCAATTAGAGCTTTTTAAAGTGGTTCGGATGCTAAGATAGCAAGTCCTACGTCCACTAATTTGTATTAGTATTGTGGGTCAGGTCGCAATAGCGGACTGACTTATAAATGATTAGGAAAATATAAATACAAACATACAAGAAAGAGAGAGAGAAAGCTAGTTCAGAGTATAAAATAGTCGGATACCCTTAATGAAGGGGTCTTCCTCTTTTTATAGTGAGATGAGTAGAAGTAATCATCATTAAATCCATGGGTTAGTGTGAATGTCAGGACTAAATCCGGCTTTACGTCACATTGCCCACCTTCCAAGCTGATTCCACACGATTTGGAGCAGGGAAATGGACACGTTGGAGCTCCATAGCGTCTGACAGGCCTGACGTGTGCTTACCGTTTTGACGGGAGCAGGTCACACCCCATCACGTGATTTCTCACGTCAGCCCTTGATTTCTCAGGCGTAACAAGTATATACACGATATCCATTATTCCCTCTCACCTTAAATCTAGTTAATTAAAAGTAGTTTAAATCATGGTTTTAAAACTCAACCTGTCCGACCGGTTCAATTGGTTAAATTGGGAGTCGGTGATCGAGTCGGGTCGGTTCGATTAAAAATCGAAAATATTAAATAACCCAATTTGGAACCGCGATTGAACCAGATTTTTTATTACGAACTGTCGGTCCAACTGGTTCGACCTAATGGTTAAACTGCATTTTTATATTCTTTTATATGTCTGAATAACGTTATTACGCTGACATCAACATAATGACATAACGGTTTGACCCAATGGTTGAACCGATTTAATTGGCCAATCCGATAATCTGATTGGGTCACTCCATGGATCGGGTTTTGAAACCTTAATTTTAATATTTTAAATACAAAGTTAATTGCGGTGTAGGAACATAAATGCACGAACATGTGCGATGAGCATGAGTTGTCTTTTTTTCAGCATCTAAGATGTGGGACTCGTTCTTTTGTGATGAGTGAAACAGTAGAGTGGTAGAGGGTATATACGTTATATGATGATGGATTGATAGTCCATCGCCATTTCGACTTATGGTCCCAAGTTTCTTGTTTTTTTTTTTTTTTCTTAAAACCGGAAAAAGAAAAAGTACAACCTGTATATTGTTTTATTCCTATTCTGGATCGTATTATTAAAATAATGTTTGGTTCATTTTTTTCAAAACTTTATCCCCAAAACATAATCCTGACACAAGTTTGAATTGTCTGCATCTTCACAGCTTTCTCAGGTTTTGACCGTTTCAATTTATTTTTATTCATTTTTCTGCACTGCGTGAACCATTTTCTGCACCATTTTTCTTCACTTTTCGTGACTGCTTCACCATTTTCTGCGCTGCATCTGACTGAGAAAATTAAACCATTTTCTTCACTGCATTCTTCATCATTTTTCTTCACTTTTCGTCACTACTTCACCATGACGACTATATGGGATAACATAACGAATGCACTATAGACAATACAGTAAACCATATCGTAGTTGTTAATGGAGTATACGTGTAATAATGATTATAAGGGTTAATAGTTAATACTTTTATTATATATGTATTAATGTGATGTTTTTAAATAGTTGGATTAGTACTTGAAATTAATATAAGTTTTTGTT